CCCTTGGGGCGGTCTCTGCCGTTGCACGGGCTTGTCTGGCTGGTCACTGCCCCGTGGCCAGTGCCAGGGCAAGGCCTGCGCCCCCCTCCCCACACACAGCAAGCGGGCGCGGGATACTCACAGCACATTTTCATGATGATGTCCAAAATCTCACATTCCTGACAATGAAGGGGCTGCTCCCTGCCCCGTGGCCAGTGCCAGGGCAAGGCCTGCGCCCCCCTCCCCACACACAGCAAGCGGGCGCGGGATACTCACAGCACATTTTCATGATGATGTCCAAAATCTCACATTCCTGACAATGAAGGAGAAGAAAGGCTGAAGGGCCGGGCCCAGACGGCTCCTGCCTGCCCCCGCGCGACGGCTGCCCTGTGGGCACAGGGCTCTCGGGGGGACGAGGGCAGATGGCATTTCTCACTGACTGGGGGACAGCCGCTCATGGGCCAGTGGCAGAGGATTCCCTCTGGCTAGAGCAAGGGGCCTAACACACTGGACACGCCGCCCGTCAGAGCGCCCAGGCCACGCCGGGCCCTTGACAATGCGGCTGGGCTGTTGGTCCGGGCCAATGTCAGGGGACTCACACTGGCGCTGAGGGGGCAGGGCATGTGCTTGCTGGGCTCCCCTAGGGGGGAGGGACCCCAGACCTCTGTGTCTATGTGAACGCAGGGAGGACGACACGGCCGGGTTTGGCCTCCTCCGGAGAAGCCCTGCGCCCGCCCTGCCCTGAGCTAGACGCGCTGGAGGGACGTGGCTCCCGCGAGCGGTTGCCAGGGCAGAGGGGACAGGGAGGGGGTCACTCACGCATGTGCTTGCTGGGCTCCCCTAGGGGGGAGGGACCCCAGACCTCTGTGTCTATGTGAACGCAGGGAGGACGACACGGCCGGGTTTGGCCTCCTCCGGAGAAGCCCTGCGCCCGCCCTGCCCTGAGCTAGACGCGCTGGAGGGACGTGGCTCCCGCGAGCGGTTGCCAGGGCAGAGGGGACAGGGAGGGGGTCACTCACGTCTGGTCCTGGGAAGCCGGGGGGGCCGGGCGGGCCCTCTCA